ACGACAAACCGTATAAAACATAATAAAAATCATCTAATAAAGTTTGTGCTTTCAATTTCAAGGAATAGGTTGACATTTTGGGAAACAATTAGCTTTGTTGCCAAGAGTTAGATTGTAATAGTAAACATTGATCCACTCTCACGGGAGCCAGCAGCTGGTTAGCTTAGCCAAAAATGCATAATTGTTGTTGTAACATTTTAGTTTTTGTACAGATTAAACAAATAATTAGTTAATGTGTAAGCTTTAGATGTGCGTGCTGGTTGACAGATTTGATTATCTTTGGACAGATAAGTTAGCTTTTTCCCCCTGTTTTTAGTCTTTATGCTAAGTTAAGATAACAAGTTAACCGGTTGCTAGCCAGCTGTACCTTCATATCATTCCTTAAAAGTTGAAACAGGGGGAAACTGATAGCTTGTTTTAGCTCAAGGGTATCAAAATCCACCTACAAATACCTGTTAAACTCACTAATTAACCGTTTAATCTGTAGAAAAATCAAAGTGTAGAAAAGAAAGTTTGTTGTTTTACAAGCTTAACATTATCTTATGTTAGCTATGTACTCATCTAAATCTCAGCAAAAAAGCAAATTTCCCAAAATGTTTTAAAATCTATCTAAGTAATAATCTAAGTTATTATTCACTACTTTTTTTTTTTACCATTTGTTCTATGAATATTGTGTATCTTGACATCTTTTGATGCTCCATTTTAGAACTACCTCTGTGTGACAGAAGTTACTTTATATAGTTTATTTAAAATGAGTTAATATATAAATACAAATATAGTAATATACAAATATAATGACATAAACACTGAGCAGCAGCAATGTGAGGACATGGGAATTATTTTATGTAAAATTATGTTACAGTGAAGTAATATTTTCATTTTCTAATACAGTTGTCATTAATTCCCCTTGCTTACACCTGAAATTACACTTAAGTGCTTCATTAAATTTTTAATAAAAAATCATTATGACCTAACAGAGAAACAGCTCAAGTTTGCAAATGTTTTTCTTTTCTTTGTTTTTTTTTATTCTAATGAATCCAGTATCAGAGAATATATTTGTATCACTGTAGATAAATTGTATTTAAATGCTTGTATTGCCTAAACGTTTGCTATATATTGTCTTAAGTTATCCCAGAGCAGAGTGTGCCATAACTGCTCATGCTGTCACAACTTAATATGCCTGTGTGATCTTGTTATAATATGGGGATTTATGTGTTTTTGTTAATTTAATTACTTCTCACACTAAACTGTTGACATAACAATTTGAAAAATAAGAATTTGCAGCCCTCCTGTTAACAAAATAAATTATATAATGTGAACAGATTATTTGCCAATGGTCACGTTTAACAAGTGAATTGAGAATTATGTTATTATGATTTTAATTATCTTCTGCAAAGCGTTATTATGTAATAAGGTAGTTATTGCGTTAATATTTGTGATATGATAGCAGGTTCTAGAGAAAGGTTTCCCTTTAATGATGCCAAAAAGGTTTTGGGTAATATTAAATTTTTTATTTATATTGTTGTTTTAGCTTCATGTCTGTCAATGTTGATTTGTACTTTGTCTAGGAAATGTTTGGGAATATTTTTAAAGGTATTTCTAAAATGTGAACTCGACTTACAGGCTTTTAGGTGTTAAAAATAATATTCCTCAGACAGATCCCAGGTCAGCACATGACAGGAAACATATGGTGTTTGAATTGTTATATTTGTGTTTCTTTTCCCCTTCTGGCAGTCGGTGCTTTTCCTCCGAGAGCATCAGTTTAATTGTCAAAAAGCTTTAGCCATGCTGCGTCCCACGTTGCTCTGAATGTACCACAAACCCAAGAAAGCCTCCTGTCAGTGTGTCCCTGAACGCCACACTCCTGCTGTAATAAATGTTTTCTGCCTCCACCGGAGTCCGGTGACATTTTGTGTTCTTTAAGGTTGATTGTGCTTTGAATGAAGAGAGCCAAAAGTGAAAAATAAGTTACCAGTCTGTTTTTTGTCCATCCACTCTCTTGTTTTTCTTGCACACGCTTTTCCTCCATGTTTGTTGATGTGTGTGTGTGTGTGTGTGTGTGTGTGTGTGTGTGGGGGTGTCGCTTGTTTTCTTTATTTGTGGGGACTGATTTTCCAAAGAAGTGTGTTCCTTATTCAGGAGGGGAAGAGCTCTCTGAACTTTACTGACTTCTAGTGACAATCAGTTGTAACTGCACAACTTGGTTGTTTTTAAATAAACACATTATAAGGATTTATTTAATCATCATTCAAGTAACAAGTGGACTTGGTACATCAGACATTAGTGCTGTAAGAATTAATCAATTACTGATTCAAGTTTCTCAAATATGTAATTGGAAATGAAATGAGTGTTTGTTGGATAAATCAAGGAATTTGAAGACATCACTTTGGGGCTTTGGACTTAACAATTAATTGCCCAATAAAAAAAATAATCAAGACATGGATTGATAATGAAAAACAAGTTGCGGCTCTATCGTGAATGTCTTTATTTATATGAAGGGAAACTAATTTACGGTGACAGGTGACTTCAAAATATAATGGAATATGATTCAGATAATTTGTTTCTTCTATATTTCAATTGCATTGCATGTTTTCCTTTTGTGCATTGTTTCATTTAACATTTGTAGTTGCTGTTTATCAGAATATATTTAACAGAAGCGTTACAAAATTGATGATTCTGACCTGTCCCCAGTGTAAATGACACCTATCTGTCAACACTTTTAAATATCCCGCCCCATCCAGGCTGTGATTGGTCGGTTCACGACAGTTGACATTGACGAGCTACTTTCAGCACACGGCTGCTTGAAAGATACCCGAGCTTCTCTTTTATCTCGTCTCTCTCGCCAATAGAGTTTAGCAGGCAGGCGAGAACGGGAACAGGTGAGCGTCACGTAGCGCCCAGAAAACCTGATATGGAGAGGTCGGAGGAGAGTACCTGCAGCTTGGGAGAAGTCCCGGTACGCCAAAGAGCAAAATGTCGAGGTGCCGGTAGGCCTACGGTGTACAGGGGCGTTCCGGTCCACTTCAAGCACTGGCTATTTGTCGATATCTTTCATTTGTTAGAAAAACGTCAATCGTTTACAATTAAGCTTATCGTTTATTTCGTTGTGTCGCAAATTCCACAGTTGGCCGTAATATTTGGGTGAGGGAACGTCGCTTTGCATCGCGGTGAAGTTAGTTTTACATTTTGTATTTGACGTTTATCAAATGTCCAGCGTAAAACTAATATCCAACTTGAAACTAACTTCACCGCGGCCCGTTCTTCCACACGTCGGTATTACGGAGAAGAAATTTGCATTAAAAACAGTGGACGAGCCACACAACACTGTCCAGCAGTGCCAGCCACGATGTGTTGTTTAAATGATTTGCCCATGAATATACAGCTTACTTTATAGTCGTCCTCTCATGTTAGCTTTGCAGCATTACATTTATTCATTTAGCTGACGCTTTTATCCAAAGACATAGGTCACACGCCTCTGGAGCAACTAGGGGTTAAGTGTCTTGCTCGGGGACACAATGGTGCGTTGAACCCGGGTCTCACACCAAAGGCAAGGAAATTTATCCATTGCGCCAGATATTGATCACAGCCGCTGTAGTCAATGCTTGTGCTCACACCAGAAGTATCTCTCCGGTCCTCTCTGGAGAGAATACGCAGCCATTTTCAAAATAAAATACCCTTTGCAGATCCCCGGTTGTATATCAACAACAAACCAACAAACACAGTTAAAACAGACAAAAAAGAAACAGTTTAACTACGTAGCCTACTTAATCATAGTAGAAGGTCAAAAAGCAAGCACTAATCACTAAATCAACAAAATATAAACATGTCAGCAAAATCAGGCAGGCAAAACGCTCTTATTCTGAAAAGCTACCTGTCGTCTCCTATTTGTTTGAAATACAATATTTACTTCATGAATACTGTTTTTGTTTTTTTAATGTGTCAGCTTAGAATATAGTCTTTTTTGTTGGTAAGTGTCATTCATGTGGTGGTGTACTAATGAAACCAGGAGTGAAGTGCCTGTTTCATTTGATAAGAACAGCTGCACCGATATTTTTTATGGTGGATGATCCATGTAAGCAGTTCTCTTGTGCGGTCATGTCTACAAGTAATTGGCAACACATTCGCACCTGCGGTAATATTCATAATACCATATGGTTTTACTGATTAATTAGGTAAAATATATTTTCTTAACATATCTAAGAAACCTAATTTCTTGACTGGCTACTCTCTTTTGTCCTGCGTCGGCCACTGTAGCTACCTTACGGGCTTAGATAGCCGATTAGAGGCGATTTTTTTGCAATTCGTAACCCTCACTACTAGATGGCACTGAAATTTACACACTTAACCTTTAACAAATCCCAGATTTACCTGCGACCGCAGTCAGTAGTGACGTCAGCCATTTAATCTACTTTTCTTGATGAAGTCTTGATGAAATTAGTTGCAAGTTTAGTCATTTAAATATGCAAAATAACCAATCGAAGGCAAATTGTGGGAAACTGTGTTAAAGACTGGAAATTATTGTTATACTGCTTTCCTATTGCTTTTTTATTTTTACTTAACCACATTTAAATTTCACTGATTTTGGTTTATTGCAGCTTTGGTCCGGTTTTTGTAGCTTTGATAATATTCTCACCAAATTAAGTCCTGAGATCATGAAACATGGTGAAATCAGATGATTAAACAGTTTGAACTACATTATCTAAACCTGGAAATTGGCCTTTAAAGTGTGGGTTTTTACAAAAGTCAGTTTGGGTACTAAATGTACTACCTTTATTTTTTTGAATATCGCCAGTTTACAGATCCCAGCAGTTAGAGTTCACTGTTATCGTACCTCATTGAAACAATGGCAAAGTATAAAATGAGTGCCTTTGTCTGAGCACCTACCAAACATCATTGATCATTGAGTCCGGTATATGTTGTCATCACTTATTAGCCGCCACCAGATAAGTATCTTCTGTTTGTGACCCCCCCCTCCCCCCCCCCCCTCCGTGTCTCCTCAGTGAGGGCTGCAGACGAGAAAACACTGTGAAGAATGTTGGATGCCGAAAGTATGCGTTTAACTCCTTGCAACTCAAAGCCTTCCCCAAACACTACCGACCACCCGATGGCACCTACGGGAAAGTTGAAACCTGATCGGACCACAGAGAGCGCTCTGTCTGGGAATATTATTGGACAGTATGGCTACTCTGTGTTTTTGGGAAGGCCAAGATCAGACTGGGAACAATCAAGATAACAGTTTAATTAGACCGTCATATCAGAGTTTTGTGATCCAATTAATTTTTTGAAGGTGTACTCAGTGATGCAGTGTCACAGTAATAAACAGTTGCATCTTCCTGAAAAACAAACTCCCAGATTTCCTCAGTATAATGACTGTTTTTGTATTAGTTGCTTATGTCATATTATGCATAACATGTTTCAAGCTCTTTGGTTTTAATTTTTTATTATAAAAATGTACATTAGCCGCACTGCCTCACCCTGATCAAGCACTGATGTAATCAATATTAACCATCCCAACATTTATATTTTTGTTCTACAGTGGAAATCAAGAGACCCGTTTAAACCATGTTTAATTAAACTGAAATAAAATGTGTAAAAACAAAACAAAAAAAATTATCCATTGTCAACCCAGAGTATTTGGACAAATTTGTCTCTACATTATGCAGGTCTGTGTCAGAAGTCTTACACCATTTCCCTTCAAGTCCTTCAATGAAAAGTAAATCTTTAAAATCTGATCAGAAATATATGATTTCATTTTTCTAAAATAAAAAAAAACAGCTGGTCATTGTAGTTTTTAGCAAACATTACTCTTAACTGGAGCAAATTGCATTTGTTGGGGCCTATTTTAATAGTTTCTTGACAGCAATGGAGCTGTGTGGCACAGAGAAAAAATATATTTCAGTCTTTGGAAACATCATTTCATTGGTATACAATCCCCTTTATGTATCTTGTAAACACACTGACCAGAAACATGTAGTACCAGTACCATCTTGCAAAAAAAGCCTGATGAGCAAGACATTGAATCACAATTGCTGAACTGCTAACCAATTGGTCTAACTGTAGTGAAGTCTCTTTGTTGATCAACAAAACCTTACAGCTTGTTTACAGACAAGGGAGGATAGCTGTAGGAACACTGTGTCTTTAAAAGCAAACAAGAGCATCAAGTACAAGCTGTTGAAATTAAAAATAAAGGATAAAGTAAACTAAAGGACATCTTCCTTTCAGCATGAATCAAATCTAAAGCAACTAAACCTAATTGAGGGCAAAGGAACGTTTATTTGCATTTTATCACTTGTCATTGTTTTTCGCACACTCAACCATGTGCCCAATTATCCACAATGACCTGTATGTATGTCGCTGCTCTTCACTTCCTGCGAAGTCCTCACAACCATTTCAACAGCATCATATGTGACTTAAGTGAAATGCATCTTACTGTAAGGTGAACCACGCTGTCAGATGCACTGCTGATGGCAGTCTTACTGCAATCAACTTAGAAATACATACTGCTGTATTTACATGTTTAACTCAATGAAGTACTTTTTGTTCTGTCAACCTACTGCGTAGTATATTTGGCATTGTAACTGAGAATAGAATACTTTCTGTCAGTCAGTTCTTGGACACTTGAAAACATCTGTGAAGGTTTTAATGTTGCTGTAACAATGTTGAAATAAATGTAAAATAGGTTTGTGTTTGTTTTGGAAAAGGAGGTTTTTCAAGTTGATATTAAACAGTTTTAACTAATTTATAGAAAAATAAATATATTTGAATTATAGATTAAACTTGTCACATGAAAATAAAGGAAGAAAAATGGAAATAAATGCATTTATATATGTGGGGAGAAAAGGGGATGATTTTCTTAAAAATGCAATTAAGTAATTTTCAATTTCATGTTTTGAATAATTATGCAAATTACAATTAAATAGCATTAAATAATCACACAAAGATTTAAGTGAGTGTGCAGTAACACTTTGTAAACACTGGAGGGCGCTACATAGATTTAACAAAGTCAACATGTACAAGTTCCACAATATGGCCAAAAGTATGTGGACATGCAAACGTTACAGCTATATAGAGGGCTGTCCACTTACTATTGTCCATAAAGTTACCCTAAATAAGAGGTTTATAGGTTTGAGAGGTTTATAGGCCTCACAGGTGTTTAACATTAAGGCTGGCTCTGTTATGTGTCCCAGTAAACCATTAGAGTGTGATAAGTCCGCATGCACAATACCAGGACCCTGAAACTGAAGCAGCTAAATGGAGTTCAGCAATTGTTAATGTTGTTATAGACACCTGTGAGATTTGGGTTGCTGCTACTTAAAATGCTGAAGTAATGTTAGCTTGTATTGTAACACGTAGTAAATCAAAATTATGAGATACAAAGTTCAAATTATGACATCAGTTAATAATGTATAAATAATAATATAAAAAAAATGTTACCTAGTATAACTCATTTTGAGTACAAATGTCAAAAATCTGTCTTTCTAAATCAAACTGAGATACTAAGTCATTAATTTGTATTTGTGTATCTGAGTGTAGTTTAAATTGTGACCGGTTATATCGTGGTTGAACATACTATTTAATAATTTTGATTCATACCAAGAATATTTGTATTTTTAAATTATCCAAACTTTGCATCCTTCAGCCGCCCCTGAAGTTGGAGTGCACCCGTATTCTGACCTTTATGTTAATGTATTGAAACGGCTCAGTTTGGTGAATTTTCTTACACTTGTATCTTGTACCTTTATTATTTAAATGGGAACAAGGTAATTGTGTTGAAACAGGAAAGGGCCAATGGTTGCCATAAAATGGGACGCACACTGTAAAATATTGGTCCATGTTGTGGCATTACAATTTCCTGTAATTGGAAGTAGAAAAAAACAATATTAATCAAAGATCATCGATAGGCTGGTTTGTTACGACCATCGTAAACATCTTCACTTTCCTGGGAAGTGATGAAAGGACAGCTTTGTAAGTGGGTGATAAGTGATGGCGTGGACCCCCTCCTCTGTTCAGCGACGGCTTCTCAACCCAGATCTAAATGGCTTCCATGACACCTCTTTCAAACCATCCATCTTCTCTGTCTAAAATGTGCACCTGGTGGTCCTCAAACGAGTGTCCTCTGTCCTTCAGATGTAAATAAACTGCAGAGTCTTGACCTGAGGTGTTAGCCCTTCTGTGCTGAACCATGTGTTTGTGTAGTGATTGTTTAGTTTCCCCATTATACATGTCTTTGCATTCCTTACTGCATTGGACAGTATAACACTAGATTGCTTTTCTTGTGTTTGAGTGTGCGACCTTCCGTATGGGCCAGTATCTGTGTTAGCCTGTAAATGTTGCTGAAATCTAAATGGGTTATTTTTTGATGCAGTGCACTCTAGTTCCTGTCCTCACCTTTGCTAATGTTCTTTTTGGGGGGGGTTTGGGGGTCCTTGTAAGTCCACAAAAGAGGAAGTCATGCTTATCATCCTGTTCTGCCCAAATTTCTTTTAGAAAGAAAATTGCCATAGGCATGCTCACTGTGGTGAAAATGAACCTTTTCAGCGAATAAGTTTAGGCCACCCTTCCAGTAAGAATTAGCACAGTTGACTTGCTTATTGGACTACAGACTATTAAGTCACATGAAAACCTGAACAAATCGTGGGAAATTCTCTGTAGCGCATCAGAAGGAAAAACATACAGCCCTCAGAATGAACTCTTGCTGTGTTGTGAACAGGCTTGTGCAGTAGGCAGCACTGGATTTTGGGGTCCTAATTTAAAATGTAGCTGTCTGTGACTGTTGATTTGTATAGAATATTTTAATTCTAAAATCTGATCTCAACTCACCTTGGCTTAATGCCTTTTGGTGTTAAAAGGAATACTCATCAGATCTCAGGTCAGCACACAACAGGAAATCGATGATGTTTGAATTGTCTATATTTGTGTTTTTCACATTTGGCAACCAGCACTTTTCTTCTGACTCGGCAGCAGGTTAATGTCCAAAAGCTTAGGCCTTGCTGTGTCCAACATTGCACTAAATGTACCACAAACCAAATAAAACCTCCAATCAGTCATTCACTCTCAAAAAAATGATTTGAACATTTTCAGCAAATATTTTGGCCTGACGTTTCCGGTAAGGAACAACACAGTTGACGTACTTTTTGGACTACAGAGTGTGACGGATTGCCGGTTTTTGATGTAGGAGCAGGCAGTTAAATGTATAACAGAAGTTATTTATTGTAAAGTGAAGCGGGGAATGGAGATGGAGAAGGTGCTGGAGAAGGCAAAGCGTGGTGAGCAATGGCAGTGAGAGACCGAAGCAGGCTGGATGAATGAATGAAAGAGACAGGCGTAGTTGGCTGGTGTTGGTTTGGCATACTAGGCAGGGAAGTGTGGTCCTGAAGCACAACGAGAGACAGAATTAAACAGCGGTATGGTTCTAAACTTTCTTTGCTCTGAAAGGCGTCAAGAACATGGTTTTAATCAGATTAAACAAGATTCTTAATCACCAGGGTTAAAACAAAGCATTATTGCTCTAAAGAGAGAGTTCTTGTGATTCTTCTGGCAGTAGTGCTGGGCTGATGAAAGCCAAGTGTGTGTAATCGACAGGTAACCAGGAGCCAGTGAATCATTACCATTCACATACCAAACACAGGGAAAACAGTGTCTAATAAAGTCACATGAAAACCTGAACAAATTGTGTGAAATTCCCTCAAATGCATTTGAGGGAAGAAAACAGCCCTCACATTAAAGTGTTGTCAGCAGGCATTTATTGAGCAGTAGACAGCACTAGCAGACAGTCCTCAGACCCGGTGGTTCACAGACCAACATGAACACGATTTTCTTCATCGGCCAAATCATCGGCATCGTCCCCATCTCTGCCGTCCTGCTCTTCCTCCTTGCCAAGCTGGTTTGCCACCGAAGCCATGTGCAGGACTGGTACGGCTATGCTGTGCTGATAACAGGCTGCGACAGTGGCTTTGGACACCAGCTGGCTCAATGTTTGGACCGCAAAGGGTTTGTGGTCTTTGCTGGGTGTTTGTTTCCAGAAGGAGACGGTGCTCAGCGCCTGGCCAGACAGAGCTCCAGTAATCTGAAAATCCTCAAACTGGACGTCACCAGTGATGAAGACGTGCAGCAGGCGAAGAAGACGGTTCAGGAGAATCTGCCAGTGAAAGGTGAGAATTTAGCACGCTGCAAAAACAAAAACACCCAGTTTCAAGCAGCTTTAATCCGGAAGCTAATTTTTGCCAAAATATAATTTATGATTTAACAATTGTGACTTAGTTATACTTAACTTTGGCTATGAATGTTATAATTCTGTCTTAATAAATCAACATTATGACTTAATATCTCAGAATTTTGATTTGTTTGATTTGATTTACCAATAATAGTAGTTTTACTTTCATAATTCTTAAACTTTTTATTATTATATAATATAATATTTTTCTTTTTCCTGGTGGAAGTGGCCACCCATGCATAAACGTGAATCACCTTTAAACAGTAAGTTCTAATTTTGAGATACTAAGATAGTCATATTTGTTTTCTTACTCTGAGTAACTGTATTTTTATTATTCCTACAATTTTCTCCTGGTGAAAACGGGGTTCCATACACAAATTAATGTCAAAATTGTAAGATACTAAGTTCTAACTTTGAGATACCAAAATAGAAAGTAAGTAAGGAACTCAAAATTTGGACATATTTTAAAAGTTTTATTGACAAGTTTTATTTACCATGAGTATTTTATTTGGAAATGGGCCGCTATAAATAAGATAAGAAACTTATTCTTGTAGAAAGCCCTCTCAGAAGAGTGGCAGCTACAAAGTGGGGCCAACTCCATATTAATACCTATTGATTTAGATTGGGGTACAGTAATGTGTAGGTGTACTAAGATAGTAAATATGTTTTTGACTTTGTATCTCCTAATTTTAATGTACAAAGTCAACCTTTTTCACTTACTATCTCAAAAATAAACTTTATAAGTCTAAGCAGAGATTATTGCATTGGATTTACACTGAATGCAAATGTTGTAGATGTTTACTTTAATAATAAATAATTGCTCAATAATGCATTAATTAATGGTTTACACAATACACATTTACATATTTGGCCTTCATTTTAAAGTTCCATCATCTCTTTCTGAAGAATAACTTATTAACCTGTCACTTTCATACTTTGTCAGGCCTGTGGGCAGTTGTGAACAACGCTGGCATATCCGACTGGGCCGAGATCGAATGGAGCACTTTTGCAGATTTCCGCAACATGATCGACATCAACCTGTTTGGCTGCATCAGGACCTCTATTGCATTTCTACCTTTGCTTCGTGCCACTAAAGGTTAGCTCATAAAGTTTGCAACATTTCAGTGTAACCTGACATTGTAGTGATGTTAACGGTGAAAATGTTTCGTTTCTTGACTGCCGCAGGCCGGATGGTTTACATGTCGAGCATCTTTGCCTTCTTCAACTGCCTGAACATGGGAGCATACAGTGTGTCAAAGAGAGGACTGGAGGCGTTTGCAGATTGCCTAAGGGTTGAAATGGCCAGTTTTGGTGTGAAGGTACAGTGGCGTTCCAAAACCACGCACAACTCCTGTGACACTTCACTGTGTGAAGCATGGGGCGTACCATTATGGGAAGTCTGTGGTAGATAAAATATGGGCAAATAGGAAGTAAAACTTTACATTCTATTAATTGGCATGCTTATTTTTCATTTGATAGCATTCATTTAGTAAAAAAACAACATTAATTAACATGGCTTTCTAATTACATGGTACAGAGTTGATTATTTTCAGTGCTGCAGTATGTCACACTCTTCCTCCTGTCAGTCAGATGACACACAGTATGTCTTTAATAGCCAGGTAAAAGTTTATTTAATCTATTTTTGAATATGTTAAAGTAATAGTTGATATTTAAAAGAGAGTTAGATAAGAAGACTAATACCACTCTCAAGTCTGTATGGTAAATATGAAGGGACAGCCAGCAAATATTAAATTAGCTTCGAATAAAGACTGGAAACATGGGGAAACTGCTAGCCAAGCGGAAGCTGTTTCCAGTCTTTATGCTAAGCTAAGCTAACCAGCTGCTACCTGTAACTTCATATTTACTGTTCAGAGTGGAGTGCTCTTGATTTCTTCCTGTCTAACTTTCGGCAAGAATGAAGACAATTTCTTGTTATCCAGCTTTAATATGTCTCAAAGCTCTTTTCAGCCAAAAAGAAAAAAATGGATGCATGTTAGTACTTTCAAAAATAAAAACTACTTTATGGTTTATCAACATTATAAGTTGGTAAATCAAAATTGGGTTAGGGTTAGATAACAATACATTAACAACATACACTGAGATAGTAACATAAGTAGGTACTGGTGGTTGCTTCACTTTTAGTGTACAAATATGGGATTTAAAACAAATGACCAAACTATCCTTTAAGTTTGTGTTTTAGCATTAAAAGAATATAAAGGTTTGAGACTAATTCAATATGTAACTCTGTTTTTCCCCCTACTTTCAGGTCAGCATCATCCAGCCGGGTAATTTCGGCCAAGCCACCAACATCCTGAAGATGAAAACTGGTTTGGATGTTTGGGAGAAATTAGACGACAAACAAAAGCAAATCTTCAACAGACAGTACATTGAGCTGGCCAACGAGTACTTCATGTCAACATGCAGGTCGGGATTCAAGAGCAGCGACATGGTCATCAACGCAATTCTGCATGCAGTCATGTCCGCTAAGCCTAAATACAGATACCTGCTGGTCTCGGCGAAGGATATGTTTTTCTTCAAGCTCTTCCCTTTTCTCCCCACCGTCTTCACAGATGCTGTGTTTGCCCTCAGCTCCATGTATGCTAAAAGAAAAGACATGCTTTACGCTCAGTAAGAAATAAGTATCGTAGTGGAAGAAACAGGCTTAGGAAAACGCATTTAATGTTTAGTTTCTTTTCTGTCCGTTTATATATCCTGTTCTAAAACGCTTGTGAATTCAGGTCTAGATCTGTGTTTTAGGTACAAATAATACATGGTGATTATAATAATAATATATTTTTAACATAATGATTTCATGAGTCTTGTTCATTCTGCATTGTCTTTGTTGGAATAAAAGTTATAATGAATTATCCTTTTGTCTTCATTTCTTATCATTTATTTATTTATGTACTTCTTATATACTCTGATCTACCAATGTTTTTTTCTCCTCAAAATATTGTACATACATGTGAACATATATACTTGTATACTGTATTTTAACTTTAATAGTCATATTTATAATTTGCACACACCCTGTACACATACATCTGGATACACTATATGATGAACAGTGTACATAAAATGTACAAAGGTATTTCTTTTTTTATTTCCCAACTAATTCAAAGTTCAGAATATAATATAGTCCCTCAGGATTTCGCGAAGTTGCGATCGGTTCTATTAACACAAATTCAACAAATCCCAGTGAATTCAGTGCGACTTGCAATTTTGACCAATCACCGCATCTTTCTAATATGACCTATCATTGCTGTTAACCACAAAAGGTTGTCATACGTCAGCTTGTCATTTTGTTGTTTACAAGACGCAGCAGTCGTGTGATACCAACGTCTTGCATTTGCTGACAAAAAAAAGGACAGTGAAAAACAGTATCTGAATCTTCTTTTCCAAAGCAGATGTAAACTGTTTGCAAACATGCAGTACTGTGGTCGAACATAAAAGGAAATTGTCTATTGACAAACACCACCACAGAAAATACACGGAGAATGGCAGAAACGCATGAATGATGTCGAACGAGACAATAACTAAAAATGCCCGTAAAAAATCCTGGAGGGACTGATAATGATATAATGACAGAGAAGAACAAACGCTGTAAAAACAAATACAGTCCTCTCCAAAAGTATTGGAACAGTAAGACAAATTCCTTAGTTTTTGTTGTTCACTGAAAACATTTGGATTTAAGATCAAAAGATGAGTATGAGACAAGAGTTCAGAATTTCAGCTTTTATTTCCTGGTGTTCACATCTAGGTGAACTTAGGACATACCACCGTTTGTATTAGACCAGGATTCTTAGGTGAGCAAAAGTAATGGAACAAATAATCTTAAAGTAAATAACATTTAATATTTGGTGGCATAACCCTTGCTTGCACTCAGTCTCAGGAGGTGAAATGCATGCTCTATTGGGTTAAGGTCAGGTGATTGACTTGGCCAGTCTTAAACCTTCCACTTTTTCCCCCTGATGAAGTCCTTTGTTTTGTTGGCAGTGTGCTTTGGGTCATTGTCCTGCTGCATGATAATCTTCCTCCCAATTAGTTTCAATGCATTTCTCAGTAAAGCAGACAAAATGTTTCCGTACACTTCTGAATTCATTCTGCTGCTACCATCATCAGTTACATCATCAATAAATATTACTGAGCCTGTTCCAGAAGCAGCCATGCACGCCCAAGCCATGACAGTACCTCCACCATGCTTCACAGATGAGCTTGTGTGCTTTGGATCATAAGCAGTTCCTTTCTTTCTCCACACTTTGGCCTTTCCATCACTTTAGTAGAGATTAATCTTGGTCTCATCAGTCCATAAGATTGTGTTACTGAACTTTTGCGGCTCGTCTCTGTACTTCTTTGCAAATTTCAATCTGGCCTTCTGATTCTTACTGCTGATGAGTGGTTTGAGTCTTGTATTTCTGCTCTCTGAGTCTTCTTCGAACAGTGGATTGTGATACCTTCACCCCTGCGCTGTGGAGGTCGTTGGTGATGTCACTTACTGATGTTTTGGGGGTTTTCTTCACAGTTCTAACGATATTTCTGTCATCAACTACTGTTGTTTTCCTTGGCCGACCTGTTCGATGTCTGTTGTTCAGTACACCAGTAGTTTCTTTCTTTTTCAGGATGTTCCAAATTGTTGTACTTTCTATGCCCAATATTTGTCCAATGGCTCTGGTCGATTTTCCTTCTTTTCTCAGCTTGACAATGGCTTGCTTTTCTCCCATAGACAGCTCTCTGGTCTTCATGTTGGTTTATCCTCTTTAACAGGAAATGCAGTCTTTATAGGTTTGAACCAAGGATGAAAACTTAGACCAATCGACCTAAAAGGCAACATCTGGGCAACAAGAAACATCTGTCCGTCACATGTTCCAATAGTTTTGCTCACTTGAAAAATGGGTGGGTTCAAACAAAGGGTGGTATGTCCTGAGTTGTTTAACTCATCTAAATGTGAATACCAGGAAATGAGAGCTGAAATTCTGAACTCTCATCTCAGACTCATCTTTTGATCTTAAACCCAAATGTCTTCAGTGAACAACAAAAACAAAGGAATTTGCCTTACCGTTCCAATACTTTTGGAGGGGACTGTACATACACAATGCAGAGATGCATTTTTGGCTGCAATCCAGGAATTCTAGTCTGAGTGATAGAAAACTTACTAGACACCAAAATAATGCACAACTTTTTTGTAGAACTCACTGACAGGATTTTACAACTCTGGGAAGTTTTCACAGCAGCAACTGTTTTATCAACAATAAGGAGTTTAACAGTAGAAATACAGCGTTCATGTTACTAAGTAATCTTCCTGGAATATGCACTTTTCTAGATGATGGCAACACAACATCATCTGTGGCACATAAAAGTAAAATTTTTGTTTTATTACCTTTTTCATATGATGCTATAGTGAACAACTGTGTGGATTTGCGCATTTTGTATTGAATAAATTTGGAACTACTCCAAATTCCTTTTTTTTCTCCCACAGAGGAGCAGGGGGTCAAAGTTGCTTTCTCTAAGTGCTATCCCTGACCATAAAACTGGCACCCTTTTGATTCCGAAGCTGATAACGCGGGGCCTGACTGTTAAACTGACAAAGGGACACGAACCAGCGATTAGCATTTCCCTGAACAGCCTATCGAAACGCCCCCCCCCACACACACACACACATGTTTCCGTGGCAACTGTCCTTGTTCTTTGTTTTATTACGCAATCAAAAGAAAACCCCTGTCTCACCCAAGTGTGACATGACCCAGGTAGCCGAACTTGCACTGGACTGGACTGCAGTCTCCAAAGACTCAAAGCATATAATTAAGTTTAATTAAATCTTTAGTTACTTGATTACGTTTGCCTCTATTTGAGTTGTTATGTTAACATGTGTTTACTATCTATTGTTGATATTAGTGCTGAAAAGAAAGTTACTTTTGCAGTGTTTTTATTTTCAGCAAGACACTCCTTCATCTAATGTAATCAATGCTTGTTCATAATACTTTCCTACAAAATTCCTTTAGAAATGATGATAAAGAAATGTTTTACTATACGCTTAACCGCCAGCTTGAATTTAAGGATGAATCAACAATATTCCCCAGTTCCTAAGGAGAGATGATCTTGGATTAATGTAAGCTTTCCTCATGTAACCTGAGCTCCCCCAAGTGGACGAAATAAGTATTACATACCATCGTTGGAAATGCCGTTAAATGTATAAATATCCTGACCAATAATGTGACAATTGTTTCCTGTTACCAAATGCCTAGAACAGTACAACCGTTTGACCATTGAGGTTCGATTGTGGAAAATATTTGATTATAATACGCGCAAATAGATTTCTTTTCTTTTGGACCTTAAGTTTAAAAAGGCAGTCCCTTGGAAAACCTGAAACGCCCCCTGGGGAACCATGCCCCAGGCAACAAAAGAGCGACACGCGACATAGCTCGGGCTCTTCTGCTCTCTTTGCTCTCTACTCTGCTCTGCTCGGCTCTCTGGACGCTTGCCTCGCCAGGCAACGCCCAAGAGTCGGCCAGCAAGACCGGCCTTTTGTTCGCCTGAAGCTACACACGTGAAGTGCCGCGACATTGATCTGCCCTCAGTTTGTTTTATTTTCTTTCTTTGGTTTGTTAAAGTTATCAGTCCGTTAAGTTACACTGGACTAATTCAGAAACGACCAAGTTCCATTTTTAAGCCTTTTTCGTCGAGCCAACTTCACTGAGGTCAGACCAAGCCACGTGGTCTCGCCAGCGGCAACGAAGGAAACCTGAAAACAGCCGAATTGCCAGATGGAGGACGTTCTTTTCGATCAGACACGGTAACAGGCCAAAAGCAGGCTGTCGATAAGCAGTAAGACCAAACAAAGCATTCTGTGATCAGATATTTCCTTTTTAACTCCTAAACTCATAGCGTTAGCTTACTTTCATTAGTTCTTCTATGCCGTATGAGTCAAATGCTTCCCACAATCGAACCTCCATTTCTCATTGTTCAGCAATTGTTTATTTTCCCGGTATTCAACCATCTTTTTATCACATTAGTTAGAGAATAAATTCACTGTAATATAATCAAGAACTGTGTGTGTTGCTATTTCTACATCCCTGCCAAGAGAATTGACTCTTTAGATATGAGACTGACTGACTGATTTAAGATAATTGAGCGATTATTAACTAACTGATCACTAGTAATAATTGTATAATTATTAAAACTACCTAGAGGTCCGGAGACTCTAGGATTATAACAACTCCGGTGGTGCCCTGAAACGAGGAATCTGGTTTGATTTTATTTTATGATTTTATTGGGTATCAATTCTCATAAATTTATTAAAATGCATAACTAAATTTAGGTTTGCTACAATGCATTCACTGGTGTCAAATGTCCCCAATGGAGAAATTTTAGATTTAGATTTAAATCTATGGAATAGATATAGAATATTTATAGAAGATACACAATGTTGTAGGATCTTTGGTAATGTGGTAATTTGGTCATAAAGTGGGGCGATCAAGAGTGATGTACTTGCAGTCACAAGTTCTTGTCCAAATCGCACCCTGCAGTGAAAACGGTGACCTAACAAAATGCTTTCCTTTTAGTTTGCAAAATTGGAAATGTGTGAACTAGAACAGCCATTAAGTAGGCCCATCAAGCTTCATCCCATAAAATTAGGATTTTATTCTCCTGGGCCCCTTCTGGGTAACTAAGTGTAAACTGTAATGTGATGTGAGGTAAGGAGATAAGAACTAACCAGTTTTATTGGTATCACTTGATCACTTACATGAGACGAGAAGGGTTTCGCTTACGTGAAAGCTTTGAGTGGGTTACGTTTTGTATAAAATTGAAAATTGTCATCAAGGCTTTCTTGGAGATGGGTGGGGTTACGCAAGGAGTTGGTTTGTTCATCTCTCACTTCAAAGAGCATTATTACTTCCTGGAAAACAGTGAATCTTTTAAATAAAACCCCGTAACTTTTAAAACTATTTATTGTACATAAATCCTTTTCAGAGCACATAAACGTGTGGAGTGTGTGTGGGTTGAAACAATCAGAATCATGGAGGAACAGTAACCAAGCAAGGCAATCAAAGTACATGGAAAAGTATTAATACAGTGTACCTAGGACCCAACTCTCTTTAAAGCAACATTATGTAGTCATTTTATCTTAAAATAACAACTTCAAAATCATTTTGATAGTACACTGACTTGAAATAGGTTAATGAAGTCTCTATCATTGCCACTCACTGCGCCAGCTACGTAACTTTGGAATCCCAGGCAAGACAATTAGGTATCAAGACAACGGCATAATGCTTTACGGCACCAACACAACTCTTCAGCAAGCAAGCTATAAGAAGGAGCAAAAATGTAATAATGCACAATGTAAGTTCCTTGGAAGAAGCCAGCTCGATATTCTCAGTATGGATATGGCCTTCTTTCTGTTGGACTAGCTGCTTGCTATGTCTTGTGTTGTTGAGCTTGCTTGATTTTTCGCTGTTAGCAAAGTTGTCAACTTTAGCAAAATCAGCCAGAGGTATAGCTACTTGCTATAAATCTCAAGTTGGCGTTGCAAACTCACTAGATAACACACTCAGACATCGCTGACATTACTCTTGCGTCGGTTATGGTCTATCTTTTTTGGCTAGCTTGCCAACCAAATTTTAACCTGTTGGAAACCTCCAGCTATTTGCCCCTATATCCAGGAAAAATGCCTAAAATAACATACCCAAAATGAATCAGGAATAACTCCTCAACCACTTGGCCTAGCTGCATAATTCTGGTCTCCTTTGAAAGGTCAGAAGCTAAGGAATATAAATCTAAATTAACATATTATTTTACAATTACAGACTAAATGGAGATGCAATAAAGAAAAATACAATTTTCATCCTCGCCTGTTAAAAAAGCTATATTTTAGTGCAAAACCATCATAAGATAGATTATAATGCACCTGGAATGCAATTGTAACTGTAAATTTGATGAAAATAAACTAAAATACAACAGTTTTCACACAATATTTTCAAAATATACCAGGCGAATGTCCATATCAAGGCAACATTTTCTGTTTAAATATTGACTTTTATTAGAAGTTATCTTTAAAACACTATTTATGTCCATACAACCACATTCCAAATAACATAACATTGAAATATTGATAAAAACTGTGAATATTCATCAACATTCCTGTGACCAAAAGTACTCCCATGCTTTACAGGCCTGTAGCTTGAGAACGGAACATCCCACAGTGATGGGGGAGGGGGAGGGGGACATTAATCAATCCGGATTGAGCAGACCTTTCATTTGATACCATTGATTTATTGGATGTCAATGTGGCTCCTACGGGTTGGCCACCAGGCCGCGAAAAAGACTGAGTGTTCCAAAGCGGCACTTCTTCTGCTCTGCAGAAAAAGGCGAGAGACGGCAGGTATTGTGCAATAATGAAGATGGCGGCCGGCGATATTTTTTACAACAAAGCCGCTGATTTTTGGACTGAAAACAGCAAAAATTGCAAAAGTAAGTCAGCGGTTTTGACGATCGGGGGCTGCCCCCGGTATCAGGGGCGTCGGTGTTCAACTTTAGTAACATTATGCTGCTGCTGGTGGAAAAAGTCTCCTTCTTGGCTTGGCTCTGTTTTTGAAGGGTAGATTGTGAATTTTTCAGTTTGATGTTCAATGCTGATGTTTTGATTTAAAATCCTAACTATTTTAAATGCCAAAAATGTTAACTAGCCTTCTAGCGCTGCACTTATGTCTTTTAGGGACAGGAAATGAATGCATCAAGGAGGGTTAGATGAGTCAGTGTCATTACTGTTGCAACAGTGTTGTCTGCTTGTTGTTTTGAACTTGTCTTAATTTTGTGGGACTTTCTAAGAAATCAATGGAACAAATAGGTCACACAGAATCATTTCTCAGTTTTGATATCTCATAAAACATATCACACCAAGGCATCTTGTACTCAAGTCAGCTTCACTAATTCGCATGTGTGTTTGTGAAAAATTTTTTCTCACACAAATACATAAGCACCAGAGTTTCCTGTGTGACTTTGCCAGATTGTCTATTTGTTCCGCCTGTTCTGGAAAATTCAGACTTAGGGTGTTTAGAGGATTTTTAAAGGAGCATATAACTCACTAAATTTATCATAAAATATAAAATTCATTAAATATAAAAAAACATGGTTCACTGGACAGTGACAAGAAGCTTATTAAAAGCTTATTTTTGCCTTTTACAGTTAGAGATACTATACTATTTGAGTAGGATAATCAAAGTGAAGGTCATGTATGCTTCTCTAATGTCTGCTTCTCACTGCCCTAAATATTGGAACTTATTACAGCATACTTTGGAAACTGGTTAGTAGTATGTTTGTTGAACATGCACAACCCCTGGTGTGCTTGCAAGACACCTAAATTGGTTATATATCCATTCAGTAATGATATCAGTGAAAGTCAAGCTTGAAGGAGGTCCATCACTTTGGTCCAAAAATCCTGAAATATATCAACTGCTATTGGATGGATTGCCATGAAAACTGGTGCAGACATTCATGCTCATTCTCCCACCAGGATGAATTACTATACATTACGTTACATTTACTCATTTGGCAGATGACTTACATTTGAGGAACAACACACATGCATCAACAAAGCATCAATACAGCAACAGACGGTGGGGTTGTCTGGCGGGAAGGATAGGTAGAGTTGCATATCATCTGCGAAGTAGTTATAAGAGAAGCCCTGCGAATGAATGATCAGCCCCATTGAGGTGGTGTAAATTGAGAAGAGAAGGGGCCCTATTCTCGAGAAAACTTTTATAAGAGAACTTATAACTTTGGTGATCCTCTGACTTCTCATTTAGCTCCACCATTTTGTCCGATCTAACAACATTCCCATCAACCTCAGTTGTACTGTTTAGTGCTAATTAGAAAATGCATGCTAACTCACTAAACAATGATGGTTAACTGGGTAAGCATTGTACCTGGTAAACTTCAGCATGTCAGCAATGTCATTGCAAGCATATAAGCATGTTAAAGTCAATGAAAACTTTTCCTTTAGTTTGTCATCTATTTCTGTGTGACTTGTAGTAAAATGAGCAAAAACTTGCATAAACTCTGGCATGCTTGTTAGATATTCAAACTCTTGTATCTGTTCAGTAATGATCTTAGTAAAATTTATAATGTAGGTGTTTTATAGGGATCAGGGCCTGTATTTATCAAGCTTCTCAGAATTACTCATAAGAAAACTGCTAAGAACTGACTTAAGTGTAAAACAAATCATCATAATACATCGTACAAACATCATAGTCCTAATGTGAGTGAAGTGTAGGACTAAATCTTAAGTGTCAGTCTTAGTGCTGATTTACGACACTATGCTGTGCCGCAAACAGGATTTTGGATGACGATGTGGCCAAGGACCAATCAGTGAATAGATTTCTTTATTTAAGAATATTCTCATATAAATTCACATTGAATGCTGAAATTCCTAAGAGTAATAATAAAGAATTTTCAAGGTAATACATTATGATATAGGCCTACACATTAATAAATGAAAGATAAAAAAGTTTATCTTTAGCCTATATGAGCAGTGTCAAATGCGCCTACTACTCCTGTATGGCCGGCTATTTGCACGAACTGTGTTTGCTTCTGTCGGATTACGGGGGATGTTATTGGGAAGTCGATGAAACGCGTGACAATGTGTGGAGCTGTAGCCTAAGTGCTATAATTGTTTCCATGACTATTCGGCTTCTTGATGGTTGTGACGGCCACAATCATCAGCATTGCCGCGTTTGTCCTGTGACAAATAAACGAAGCGTCATCACCACCTTCAATTTAACTGAAAACGCATGACTGTGTAAAGTCAGTGGTGAGATGACATCCCTCATCAATTCGCCGACAAGGATTATGCCTGCGCTGTCCGACCCCGTCTTATTAACTGTGCTTCGTCAAATAATTCAGAAACAATATTCCTCTCCTGAAAGATTTGCACATTTCTCTGTCTCCACAGTGCCGTCACAAGCCCCTACTGGCAACTCCTAACTACTTGAGAGACCTCTCGAGCTGTCTTAAATAACTGGGAGAGTAAGAGTGATTCTTAGCTTTGAGAAATTTGATAACTTACTTTTATTCTTAAGTTTAAGTTTAAGTAGGAGTGAATTTCAGGAATTCGCAGCACTTAAGACTAAAATGGCACTTTGAGAAGTTTGATAAATAACGGCTCAGTTGAGTTACCCCAAACACGTCTTCTGTTGCTAAGCATACAGAAACATCGGTTCAACTGTACACAATGGTTTTCAAGTCAACGTAATGGTCAAATTCACCCCGCATAGCCGCACTGAACTACACTGTACTGACACACTTTAATGCCTCCACACTGCCTGCAGCCACTGAGAACAACGAGTGCATTTGTCGTAGTGAGTATCTTGATAATTTCTGTTGCCACTTTAACTCACATGCTCTGTGTATGACGTGAGAGGATAAACAAACATTCAACACATGTTTGTTAGGGTTGCTGCCAAGAGAAGCAATTTAGCAGCCAATAAAGTGGCAGTTTAATTATGCATTGTGCAGATTTGTCTTAAATGTGTCTTTTTTTACATTTGACACAGTCAGAATGAGACACGGGGTGAGTTAAATAACAAAACCTGGGAAAAGAAATTGACATGCAGTCTGATTGAATGTAAATTAAAGAAAAAACTAATGAATTAATACATGAAGATCAACTGAATTTCGTTTTTCCTTTCAACACTTAATTATGATGTGTGTACTTGCCATTTTCAAATAAAATTTTCCTTTTTAATTCATGGTAAAATGATCCTTCATTCCATACAATGAGGGAATTTTGAGGGGGACCACGTTGAAATGTTACAACTGTGAATGCTCTTGATAATCTACAGTTAGTACCTTTCACAGGCACTTTGGTAGGAAGAGTAACTTGTCTATGGATTATAATAAGGTCAACCAAAAAGTGATTATTTCTTGTTTTATTTCAATAGTTTTTAGGTCTAAAGAGAAAAAAATAGTAACAATAATAAAACAAGTTTAATTTGATCTAATATGTTGTTTTTCTGCTCTCTCATCTTGTTAATCGTATCATGACCTTTAATAACCCATTAGGTGTACGTTTTGCCACTTTTGATTTTTTTAATTGAGACCTGCCAAGGGCAGATGAAAATTAGCTTAAAGCTAAAACATTCTTACTTTTAATGGTAACCTAGGGGGATTAGTTTTGAGAAAAGTGCTGTGTTGAATGTGCGTGCATATATCACGTTGATGATAATGGATAAGACATGATAGTAAGGACCCAAGAGAAGGCAAAGTATGTTATGACTGACAGCTACTTTCATATAGTGTAATTAGACAATCAGGGCATTAAAAGTTATATATTAAGGGACTGTTTCTTTCCCTCTCATCTTCTCTGCTTCATTGATAATTGGAAGATGTCTTGTGTGTTTAAACGTCACTCTGCTGCTGAGCATTTTGATTTTTTTTTCATTCATGTGACAAATTTGTTGTTTTTGTGAAAATCTTGCAACAATTTTGATAATTATTCAATACTTTGATTCATTTATCATGCAGAAATGCAGATTAATTGATAATGAAAACAAGTGTTAGTTGCAGCCCTAATTAAGAAAAACCACTGTAATTTTGCAGTAAATATTCAATTTAGCATGTATTAAGTGAGTTGCATGGCATTTGGGAGATTTCAAAATAGAAAGAAATAAGGTTGAATGTGTTCTCTTACTTCCTAGGAAACCTAAGAGACGTGAGGTTTTGTCTCTTTTTATACATACTAGGGCTGCAGCTAACGATGATTTTAGTATTCAAAGCTTCTATAGATTATTTCAACGATTCATTGATGCGTCGTTCAAGAAGTACTTTTGCTTGGAGGCGGCCCAGAAATTTTTCTAAAACATCCCAGAGAGCCATGGCGGCAGGAAGAGTCCGACTGTTCCCAGCAGACAAACCATAATGAACATCCACAGGAAGATCCGGTCTACAACCATGGCTACATACTTCCAGTCCTCCTTCACCTGTAGAGACAGAAACAGAAGAGGACACTGTAAATGTCTGGATGTCAGGTGAAAATTCATTTGAAAGGATAATAATAATCCTCATTACAAGCACTCACTGAGAAGTCTGCATCCTCTGCTCTGAGGTGCTCTGCGATGTAGGCCACCCCCTCCAGGGCCGATACTACTGCAGGAGACAACACAGAGGCCAATCGGCTCTGGGTCGAACCATGCTCCACAGGAGGGGTCTCCCAGTCCGAGCTGACTGTAGATTGTCTCTGTGGGAGGAGAGTGTAACTGAGAAGTGGAGGGGAAGGAGGAGAGATGGAAGAAATCCTCTGCCGTCCAGCTATCTTCATCCTAAACCTCCCCAGATGATCTGTATTTGTGTAGTCGTGAAGATTGCAGTAGTGAATTTCAACTCCGGCATCCAAGGAGTCGAGCTGGTGGTTGCTGTGGCAACTGTTGCCGTCCTGGTAACCATAGAGATCGATGTCAGACTCGTGAGTGACCCAGGTCGGTGTGCTGTGGGAGGGGACTGGGGTCTGGACAGGGAGGAGTTTATGAATCAGGTGGTGCCGCCTGAGACAACAAAATGAGTTTGGAGACAACAAGATGTCAGCAAGCAGATATTTTTCCGTTCTAGTGCCAAAATGAGAAACTTATTTTTTTTATTTTATTTTTTAAAAGAAACCAGAGTTCTTAAATGTTGTCCATACTTAAGTGTATAAGAGCTTTCCCTAAATACAATGGTTTATTCATGTAATCAATATTTTTATATTAACAATGGATCAAATGATGTATGCGGAAGGGGGTCGCTCACGGTGATGACCACACAGATAAGTATTCCCAACTCTTATTGTTTTGTTTGTTTGTTTTTTCGCCTTCAGTTTTCCTTTTTGGTTTAGGCACCACTCATCAGTGCTTACAACTCAGTAGCTGTTTAAAAGCTCTACAAACCCACTGTACACTCCCTGCAAAGCACCAAACAGCACAGACAGACAGTCACAGTTAGCAAATAGCGACTAGCACAGTTGAGCATTTAGCTGCTAGCAAGATATGTGTAAACAAGTAGCTGTTTGCTAACAACCAGAGATGCTCACAAGTCTTTGAGCTAGAGTCCAAGTCAAGTCTCAAGTCTCTCGTGGTTACAAATGTTGTATCACCTGCTGCGTTCAATCCAGGCTGCTTATAAAACTGCATAGCTATAAGGAATTCTGTAACTGTAGCCTGTTTCTCACTGACAGAGCACAACCATGTAATGTGCAATGCAAATTAATGACAGTTTATTAACTACTGTTAACACATACATATATACATTCACCAGACTCTCAAACCAGTGTAACGTTAACTAAATAAAACTGTAACGTTACATGATCAACAATAAACCTGTAACCTGTTTTTCACTTACAGAGCACAACCATGTAGCCTAATGTACAATACATCTAAAACTAATGACAGCTTATAGACTAGTGTAAGTCAACATATCCCCCAGACTCAAGCCCAGTGTAACGTTAACTAAATAAAACTGTAACATTACATGATCAACAATAAACCTGTAACCTGTTTGCAGCCACCGTTAATTAACGTGGTGGCAGCCAGCAGGACATAAATGATTATGTTATCGATCACCACATGTTTGGCAAGCAAACGCTCATTCATCTTTTTAAAACTAACGACAGTCAGAGTTAAGCTCCTGTACGTCGTAGATAAAGCAAGAAGCAAGCTAACGTTAGATGGCCAATGCTGAGCTAAACATGTTTAACTTACTCACCACAGGTTACTAACCTAACCGTTCAGCATTTCTTTGTTTGGGCCTTGTTGTATGAAGTTTTAAAGCCAAAGTTTATGATGAATGGCTCAACAGCTGCCGCTGTTGTCCTCTCTCACGCGTGGCCGTGCGCAGCTGATAGCTACTACGTGTTACGTAGGCAGGTTATAGGTAACGGACAGCGAGCGCATCAGACGTCCAAGTCAAGTCTGAAGTCTTTGGAGGACGAGTCTCAAGTCCAGTCTGAAGTCACTGTGTGTGCGACTTGAGTCGGACTCGAGTCCGAGAACCAATCTCTGCTAACAACTTCACCATATTTATTTAAAAGTTGATGAAATGCCAATGTTGTGTCCACAGCAGTTCATGCAGGTTTAAATCAGGAGCTATTTGTTAGGGTTTGGGCTTTCAGTTTTGCCTGTTTTATTCTCGTTTTTGCCCCACGCTTGTTTATTCACTCTCTGTCTCTGTGTTCCTGTTCTCTGTTCTCATTTAGGTTCTGTCTTGTGACACATGCGTTCAGTGTTTTTTGTTTACCTTGTCAATTCCATCCTCTTGTGTTGTTGTGTGCTTTACTTCCTTCCTTTCATATCATCCGTCTCTGTGTTCTTCTTTGAACTTTATTTCCTGTCTTAGTCTTTTTTGATTACCTGATGTGTTTCACCTGTTGCTCGTTTGCAACAGGTGCAACAATGTGCTCAGTTCTGTTTAGTCTTTGTCTTATCCTCATCGTAAATCGAGTAATCTGTCCGTACTTTGTGTCCTGTTTCCATATTTGGACTTTGCCTGCCTTACTTCATGTAAGCTCATGAGTGAGTTTTTTGTTGTGTTAATTCTGATTTACTGGATCTATTCTGTCAGGCCTCTGCATTTGGGATCACACCTCAGTTACCTGCTTCAGCACTCAGTGACCCTGATATCGAGGACTGATGCTGACAATTTCAGAAATAAATACATAAATAAATAAATGCTCAATAAATAAATAAGCATCCGATTAAATGCACAAAAAATAAAGTAGAAAAATACATGTAGGCAGTAATTAAATTATACAATGAGACATAAATGTATATATCTCTTTAAATTAACTTCATTATTTATTCACCTTTGTAATAATTACCTTTTTTAAATGTATTTATTTATGTGTGTGTTTTAATATTTTTGTCTGTTTTATTCTTCCTTTGCATTTTCTACCCTGTTTATTTCCCCCATGGCATTTATTTCTGCCTGTCCTGTTTACATTTCTCTATGCATTTCTGCCTCATTATGCAAATGAGGATGGGTTGTGTCTCAAGGGGTCAACTTCTCCCCTATTGGTGGATCAGTCAGACGGCAGAGCTCGACTCTACGTGCACATACATCAACAAGCTTGCTCCTCACACAGTCACATGGCTTCCTTCAGTGAAGTGAGGTGTTTAGCAACTCTATTTGAAGACAATACTACCAGCCATGTCTTCCTTCTTTTTTGTGTGGACGCTTTGACCTACAGAGTTTTCATTTAGCGAATTACACGGACACAGAACTGCAGGAAAGTGAGCTGTTGTTTGTGAGAACCACATGGTCAGCTTGCCGCAACTAAATCTGGAGTGCACTCCTATTCGAGTATTTACAGTAAATGCTCACGACACAACACACTCAACCGTGGTGTTGTGTCGGGAGCGGGAGAGGCAGTGACTTAACCAGCGGTGAGTAGAAATATTATGAATAATACATGTAACTTGTTAAGCTATGAGGAGAGGAAAAGTCCGCTAGCCGCTAGGCTAATTTATGTAGCGTTAATGCCAAATAGGCTAATGCTCTTAAGCTAGTGGTGGTGACTAACAAATAAACTAATCTTGACAGTTATGATTAAGAAGAATTTTATGCTTCTGTTAAATTGCTATTAAGCCATGTTTTATATGTGGTAATGGAGTCAATTTAAAGGTAACTTTACTGCACTTAACCAGTCAAAATGATTTAATGTAGGCTAGTTACTGTACTGCTATGTCTTGCACAGAATACAGAGGAGGAGGTGGACACGGGTGGCCATAACCATATTCATCAGAGGACAAGAAGAAAAGAAGGATAGCAACAAAGAAAATAGCCTAACCCCCAAATAATAAAATAAATTCATTTTATAGTCCCCCTTACATGGCTCGTTTATGTGTGATACAGAGGAAGAATGGGAGAACAGCACATATCTCATCGTTACTGTGTGATTATAGAGCATGGGAGAACAGTGGGTACTTTTAAGACAGCCCACACCCCTAATATTACTGTATAACTACAGGATAACAAGTGGAGACCATTCAAGATTTTTTTTCACAACTGTCTGCATAGTTTATTCATCTTGTGTAATGTGTAAAGAATGAAAATGAATAAGCCTACTAGGCTCCTCTCTACTTTGACATTTAAGATTAGCTTTGTTTGATCCACCTTCATACATATATGTGGCATTACTATATTACTGTATAACTTGAGAAAGGTAAGTTGTTTTCTGTTCCAGCCTGCCTAAATGAAAAGCATTTTCGGGATTAAATGGGCTTTATTAGCTGCTGCAGTGCAGGATGAACAAAGAATAGACCCGTTTCTCAACTTATTACTCTAAATCATGCAATGATGTAGAAGAAATGCATAATAATAGGGGCAAAATCTATCCACAAATACTGTACAGTATGTTGCCTAATGAAAAATCCTTGTGTTATAGCTGACTTGGACGGTGAAATGTTTCATTTTTTAATTCATGTGGTCCTAGTTGTTCACAACTCAAATCAGAATTTAAAGAGAAATGTGTTTTTATAGCACCTCAAGAAGACTTCCTATCAGAAAGGAAGGTATTTCAATGTACAACTGCAGTACTTCAATCTAAGTAAAGTAATTTCCCAAACATTTTAGTGTTATTTTACTTTTAATAGAGACATGTAACAGGTTTTATACTTCCTGTGAATATAATCCAATTAATCTTATTTTCATACTGTATATACACTGTGTTATACACTGAAAACCAGACGTTGTGGCATGTGTGTCGTACGTAATTTGATCAATTATGTGCTACTCGCATCGCGTACTATTAAGACTTCATTGCCTCTCTGCAGATAAGTCTCTCAGACTGAAACACGTGTCTTTCTAAAGAGGGAAAGTGACAGAACAAAGTCTCTAACGTGCCTGTCAGCTCAGCACTGCTCCAAACTGACGTGTGCTTCTCACAAACTCCCTTTACCACAGTTCTGTGTCCGTGTATGTTGCAAACTGAAAACACGAAAAGGAAGGAAGACATGGCTGGTAGAATTGTCCTCAGATAGAGTTGCAAATCACTTCAGTTCACTAAAGGAATCTGTAACCCAGAGGTAAAATTGGCAATATATAGAATAAATAAATAAGTCCTGAGTGAAATAAATATGCAATAAATATAGGTTTATTATATACATGTGATTAGATAATAAATGTGAAAACTATATATAAGTCTAAATAAATGCTTTTATTTTGAAAAGATCGCTTGTAAACATTGCAATACAAGGGCATATTGTTATTGTGGCATTAGCCTATTAGTCTGAGTGTTACTACACCCTAGCCAATAGAATGTTTAGACCCCTGTCTCAATCGTTTGTTCCAGGGCCGTTAAATAAGACAGTTACGACACACTTTGATCTCGCCGCTACGCGGTCACGTGGTTCATGTAGCTCTCCATAGTTCCAAACAACTTAGCGCTGTCAACCAGTTTCAATGGGTTTAGGCGGGAAGGACAGCAGCAGCAGCTATATTTACAGCAATTATCAGTAAATATTAACAAAATATGACACTGATTACTGAGTTGACACTTACATTACATACATATACT